TAAGAAGCCGTCTCCAGTTTTGCTCTCTAAGAGGGTAAGCCCATTACTTTTAATCCAAATCCTTTTTAAGGACTTTGTTGCACTGGTTATCTTGGCAATATTCCAACACTTGCTAATCCTATGATCTGAACATTTTTGATTACCTTGTGTGGCAGTACTTCCCATTACATTACATTTCAAAGTATCGGTCCGAGTACAGATCTACAGATCTCCGTGGTACACCACCACAGACTTTATATTCTTTATTCCTTATTGTTTATATAGTAACTCAAAATCCATTCCTTGAAATAACTGACCACTATATAGAAATGTTTGGGAGGCACAGAGATGCTAAGATGCTGAGTTGAAAGCATGTTTAGCATCGATATCCTTTCAATCCTTCAATATTGTTTTACGCTAATAGTCCCTTCAGCTAACCATGAATGGATGTTCGGTATCAGTTTGTCAGCGCTTTTCTCACATCGTGCAATCGTCAGTGTACGAGGTGTTTGAAATTCACTCTAGTGGTTGCGGGAGTTTCGAGATGTAGAAGTTAAACAATAAAAGGGAGAGGAACTCCCTTGCAGAACTCTTTGTTTAATTCTTCTCAGTTTGGCGTTTTTACCTCCAAATATTACGAATGAATGACGATCTCTTTTGTAATGAGAGGAGCGTAGAATTTGCTTGCAGGATGCTTTTTGGTTAAGGCCATAAACTATATAGACGTTCATGATGCTGAGTGCTGTGGTGATACTGTGTGCTTTTCAGAAGTCATACTGGTGATTTCCTAGGCCTCAAGCTACTCATGAACTTCACACACCACGCCACAACTTTTTACTTCGCCTTCACTACAGGAGAAAAGAGACTTATCGGACGATAGGACTCCCCTTTGTTGGCAAGTTTCCCAGGTTTCAGTAATGGGACTTTTTAAAGGGACGATTTTCCACCAAGTGGAAGTAAGTTGTGCGCAGTCTTTTGGCATTTTGCGCAGCAGAATACATCTTTTGGCTTTATCTATGAAGGGTGCAGTGTAAATTCCCGGCTAAAAACAGCTCTCTCACTTCTTGGGGTCCGAGAGTTAGCATAGGTCGCCAGGTTATGCTATTTATCAGACCACTACTAGCAATGGTAATAACGGGGGACCTACTAAAGGTGCCCAAAATTTTAGTGGGTGTTTCGTCATTCATTGTGCAGAATGCCGAATCGTATATTTGTTCCACCAGCTCCACTCTCCTAGGATCGTTTTTGTGCGTTAAAGTCGCTCAGTACCAATCGGGTTGTTGTAATGCACCAATGTTCGGGTCGTATCCTGTGGGGCACAACGTATGTAACTGGATGAATGTATATATTAAATATTTCATGTTTGACATCGGTTCACAGGATAGCTATACCTAGGATTGACATTCTAGGATAATATTCCTGCGGTCGAAGTAGCCAGCGAAAAGACGATATACGCTCGCTTTGTTTGAAGGTTAGGGCTAAACAAAAAGTATTTTGGACAGAAAACTCTCTGACTCAAAGACCTAAATTGTTTTTCTTATAATCGGATAGAAAATTTCATATTTTATTTCCAACTCTTAAATATTCCATTTTTTACTCATCCTTATATAGACACCCTGCATTCAATTTGTTATGCTACATTTTTATTCTTTAAAACATTGCAGCCATTTGTAGTGCTTTGTCGCCATTCGCCTGTTTTTGTTGCAACTTACACTCGTAGATTTGCAAATCTTTCTCTCTTTTGTGTAATTTTTTTCTTCCTGTAGCATTTTTCCAGTTATTATTTATTTATTTGTTTGCGTAAACGTGAAGCTTTGCGCTTGCATTATTTTCTGTTTTTTCCATTTGCCGCTTGTTTCCTTGCACTGTGATCAACTCAGGCAATATCACATTCACATATTTGTTTATTTTCTCAAATAGCACAACAGACAAACACAGCAAGGTAAACAAACCCAACACTCAAACAATTCGTGAAAAAATAAAGAGAGCAGGTAAAAAATACATCACTCCCAAAAACAAAGAATAATTTGCTCTCAAATCCGTGTGCACACAACGCCAATTGACGACATCAATTCAACTGGATTGAAATTCAATTTCCAATTTTTTTTCCAACGAAGAGTCGATTGTGTGCATATTTGTGGATTTTTTTAGTTGATACATATTTTTTTTCTCATAAGGGCTGTCCTTAATGGTTCACTGAAAGTATTTTCTATGACTCTTTAGTCACCATTTGAGGCGAATAATACTATTTTCATACTCTTACAACCTTTTGCTAAAGAGTATAAAAGTTTTGTTCACCTGACGGTTGTATACATATATCACCTAAAACTAAGCGAGATAGATGTAGGGTTATATATACATTCATATATCATATACTATCTGTCTGTTCGCCCATCCGTCCGTGAACGTTGTAACTAAACAAAAATGTAAAATATCTTTTTGAAACTTGTTATGCTGGCTCCGCAGTACAAAAATATTATGGGTTCGGACCGTCTTTAGGCTTAAAAGTTGCAATAACCAAGTTTGTTGTATGTAAATCTTATAAGAACTTCTACCAATAGTGTGAAAATGGACGAAGTCGGAGAATGACTTCGGTCACTTCCATATAACGGTACTGTTAAAACGGGATAAGTCAATAAGTAAATACGCCAGGGATGTTATAATTTTCCTGGATGGTATGAGAAGGCTTTATCGCAGCCGGGGTAAAAATTAAACGACGAATGTGCCACCGCCCACTTTTTAATCAAATCACATATCTCGGGACGCGACAAACTAATTTCGACCAAATTGAGTACGTAGCATGATTCTTAAATTCCTATGACACAGTGTGAAAATTAGCGAGATCGGTCTAACACCACACCTACTTCCCATGTAACACAATTTTAAATTTGATTTTTTCACTTTTCCAATCCCAATTCAAGAAATATTCAAAATAACAGTATACATTTTTTCAGTAATACTTCCCTAAATATATGCCACCTTATAACCGAAAATTGGCCAAACCAACCAAAGTAGTTCAAGCCTCTAGGTATCGAATATGTATACCCCAGTATCTATATTTGAATTTTAAAAATATCATTTATGTGTGAGATATACAATTTAAATTGAGAGAGCATCCTCTCAATGAAAATTACATAAAATGTTTGACTCATAACAAAATATATGATTTGTGTTGAAAATAGTTACAATTGGACGAAAATTTGACTTAGCCCGCATATAAATAATATCAGTATTTTCGAACATCTGACTGACTTAACTACCTTAACGAAACACAGAGAACACTTTTTTTTTGTATAGTGTTAATAGTTAATAGATAAGATCGGGTTGATACTACCTGAAATCCCGATTTTGTCGGTCAGTGTATGAGTTATATATAGTATATGTAATTCTAAAACAAATTTGATGCTTGCAAGTTGCAAGAGTACATACATATATAATGTTCGGTTGGACCCGAGCTTTGCCCTTTCCCACTTGTATGTTGTATGTATATTATTTTAATTAATGAAACGAGTATTGAGTTTTCGATCCTATATAATATCTGATGGTTACCATAAACTTTAAGTTTTAAGTTAACATGGTATGGTCAACAGTTTTTAGTATCAGATATATGATTGCAAATACGTGCGTAAATTATATATTTATCAACGGAACGGTAACTTCTTGTCTAAAAACAAGAAAAAGGCGTTAATTTCGGTTGTATGTAGTTAAATATCCTTCAGAGGTGCATTTCTGTTCGTAACTTTGTATTCATTTTGTATGGAAGCAACATATATGCTATATTAATTCCGTTCTGAACAATTTCTTCTGATATTACATTATTTCTACAAACAATAACTCATATCAAATTTCGTGACGATATATCGTCAAATAAGGAAGTTTCCCATGCAAGCATTTGATTCCGATCATTCAGTTTGTATCACAGCTATATGTTATAGTGGTCCGATATCGGCAGTTTCCACAAATGAGCAGCTACTTGAAGAGAAAATGACGTTTACAAAATTTAGACTAGTTCGTATATATACAGACAGGTAGACAGACAGACAGACAGAGAGACAGACGGATATGGCTAAATCTACTCAGTTCAACATACTGATCATTTATATAATATATTATATATATATATACTTTATAGGGCATCCGACGCTTCTGGGCTTACAAACTTCGTGACAAACTTAATATACCCTGATCCGGGTATAAAGATACTCTCAATAGTTTTCGAAAAGTCATGCATGGGATTTAAAAGTATAACTAATTGAATGTTAGTGATGAAGCAAATAAAATGCAACTTTTGAGATTTTGCGGAGACTTATAAATTTTTTAATAAACACTCTCCTACAAGGTGCGTTCCAAAGTAAACAGGACTTTTTGAATCTAGCGTCCATGATGGTGCCAGTTATCTAGTGAGAATTTCATGACATTTGTTCGATTGGAAGTGAAGTTATTGCATTGTAAGTGAAGTATTGTGTTATCGGTGCGAAAATGAGCTTCAACCAAAGAGCCAACATTAAATTTTGTTTTAAAATTGGTAAAACTTTTACCGAAACGTTTCAATTGATGAAATAAGTTTATGGCGATGATTGCCTATCCCGTAGCAGAGAACATAAATTACGATCAACATGTAGACCATTCAAAAGGCTTGCACCGGCATACTGTCGACCATACCGGCAAACAAGCTAAAACACCCGTTCGACATGCTGTATTTAACTTACTACAAAATATAAAGTTTGTAAAATTACTATATCAATTAATTTCAATATTGTTAAACTTCAAATCTTGGTAACACATTACATAACAAAATTTGTTGTACTTTCTTGTGTAATGCACATTCATTAGTATGTTTCAACGAAAACATTGTCATTTAATTGATATATATATAAAAATTATAATATACTAAATACTTTTTGCTTCTTTAATTTGCATGCAATGATTCTTTATAATATGTTTTATTTAAGCTTTATGCAATATGAACATTAATAAATAATAGTTTTTAACACATACATATGTACAAATAGTGACTAAAACGCTTTTCACTTATCACAATTATATGACGACATTACATTTCAATTATTTTGGCAACCACAAACTATAAACATACACACATGCATACATATGTAATTAAGGGACTCGCAAACAAAGTCATCCCTTAAATATTACGTTAAATTAATAAACAACGCAGAAATCAAATATGTTTGCTTACTCTTTAAGCAAATAATTTCTCTGTTTAAATAACAAAGTCAAGGAAATTTTGGCACCTTCCTTTCTTTTCTTTGGCACAAGCAAGCAAAAGAAAAAAACAAAAGTTACAACTGTTTAAAATCAAATGCAATAAAATAAATGAGAGGAGAGAATGATTCTCAGCGCAACCGTAGGCAATGCATGCAAATGCACTGAGTGCGCGCCGTTATTTGTGTTACGTCGGCAAAAATAAGTTTCAAGAAGAAAGAAGTGCGTGACAGTGCGTAATTAATAACTTAAAGAAATAACCAATTTATTGGGAATAAAAATTTAAAATTTGTGCAAATAAGTGGTGTGAATGTGTGAATAGATTTTAATACTCAATGTCAATCAAATTAAAATTGCAGCAATGGTTTGTGAAAATATGAGAAGCGGCATATTTTAAATGAATGAAATGAAATGAATTTATACCAGAAATGATTACCGGGAAAATGCTGTTGGCTATAAGGAGCAATAAGTGCAGAGGTGAGTCATTTAGTTGTTTAGTTGTTGCTAAGCTTTCGTAACTTAGAAATTCAAGGGAATGCATGCATGCAGGTTTGAGTAGTAGAAAATAACAAATAGTATTGAAATTTATTGGTGCTTTTGGTCTCTATAGCGTAAAAATGGCACAACGAGCACAATAAATTGACATTAAAAAAATCAAATAAAAGAAAATTAATACCACAACTGTGTTGCTATTTACTACCAATTCAAGGTATTTTTCTTGGTAAAGTAAACTTAATATTATAAGCTGCATTATTTTCAGATTTTAATATGAATTTCAATTATTTTCAGAAATATGAATACCTCTCTAGGTGGAATTAATACCGCTAGTTAAAGTAGCAGTTGATCAAAGAAGTAAGGGAACTAATTGACTGCTTTTGAATGAAGTGGTACGCTTTGTAAATTAAAGAGCAGGTGAAAAATAGTGAATAGTCTGAATTGGTTTAGCACCTCTTTAAGTTATGAAAACAGGGCAAATAATGTACGTTTGCGATATAGGGTCGTTGCTACACGTGTAATTTTTAATTTAATAATTAATTAGAAAAAATGCATAACACGCCCAAAAAAGATTTGTTACTTATGTCTATATTTTTCATTAGCAAATATTAATTAGTTCACGGTGAAAACATATTTTTCTGTACCGATATAAAGGGTTCTAGACTGATTTAAAACAAAAAAAAAAGAAAAAAAAACAAAATTTCAACCGATTTTTATATTTTTGTTACCTAATCAAATTCAGATTTTATGATGATGACTAAAATATTAATAAATTTGTACGTGATCAAATTATCCCGAGTCAAAAAGCGCTTTTCCGGTACATTCAAAAGAATTAACATCGATTTTGTTAATTTGGCGAACTTAGTTGATATATTATTTGCTATATCTTTTGTTGAGGTGTGTTTTTGTATACAATTGTGTTCGAAATAATAGCAGTGGCACAACCCAGAATTCAAATGAAGCAAAAAATCGTGTAATTGATTTCATTTTGGGTTATTATTATTGTATTTAATTCGGTCATATTCAAGCTTAAAAGAAAAAGTTTGCAAATGAAAATTTCTGCTGTGATTAATAATAGCAGTATTGAGGATTTTTCTTTATCAAAAATCAATTAATTCATTATAATAATATAAAATAAGGTTTAAACAATTAGTATTTCGTCGAATAGAGTCCGACAAACACTTGCATTTCTCTGGCCTTCCTCGTTTTCTTCACATCACTCCATAATTTCTTCGTGTCTGACGGATTCTTTTTCCCTACAGCTTCCTTGGCCTCTGCCCAAAGATTTTCAATTGGATTAAGGTCCGGTGACCCAGCCGGCCAACCCATAACCTCAACTCCATTTAGAGCAACCAAAATTTTTTGCCAACCTGCTGGTATGTTTGGGGTCGTTATCTTATTGATATACCCTTTTCAATGGCATTTTCTATTCAGCGTGTCGTAGCATGTCGACCTGTACCACAGTAAGAGAAGCACCGCCATACATTGTTTTTGGTGCCTCCATTTTTTACTGTCCGTGAAACATATTTAGGATCAAATGAGGCGTTTATTCGCCTTCGTACATACTGTCGGCGTCCTCGGGAATCAAATAAAACAGTTTTTGTTTCATCGGACCACAATATGTGGGCCATTTTTCGACAGGCGAACGCAGGTGCTCTTTCAAGCCACTGCTATTATTTCGAACACAGTTTTATGTACATATTTTGAAATTGTTTATGAGAATAGCTTGGAATGTTTTCACATAAATATATATCGAATTATATATTTTATAATGCTTAAGCGTTGAATTCGTTAGTGCATTCGGCCACCATGCTTAAAAAAGTGCAAAACTATAACTGCGTCTCATCTCTGTGACACTGTGACATTAATTACAGTTAGTTTTAAGTTTATTTAATATATATTTAATTTACGTGTTTTCCTTATAAATTAACGAAGTTGCGCAAGGGTCACTCGCGTTTATCGCGGCAACTCGAGCTCTTCGTCTGCTATGGGTGGTGATTTGACTCCAAGTACGCCATTCACGGGGAGGGAGTCGGAGTGAATGGCGGTCAGTGCCTGTCGGAAGTCTGTAGCGTCCGAGATCCTGTCGGCGTATTGTTCGATGTCGTCGACGTGATCAAGGAATGACCTCCTGATGCTCCTAGGAGGCGCTCCAAGCAGATGACTGCAAGGATGATTTCTGCGAAAACATCCCAGCAGGAACTGCTTGGAGAGGAGTTCATTATGCTCCTTGACTGTGAGCATAAGCGTCTCGCTATGTAGGTGCTCGATGGGAGACATCAGGAGGCATCCCGTCGTGGTCCGGAGTGCTGTGTTCTGGCAGGTCTGTAGTTTCCTCATCTGCGTGCTACTGCATCCAGGCGACCATATGGGTGCTGCATAGTTGAGGACTGGCCGGCCGAATGCCTTGTAAATTGCCAACAATGTTTCTTTGTCTTTTCCCCATGTGCTGCCGGCTAGCGACTTGAGGTTTTTGTTGCGGCTCTGTACTTTGGCGATAATCGCGGTCATATGTGGAGAGAAGGAGCATTGACTGTCGAAGGTGACACCTAAAGTTTTAGAGTTATTGACAGTCGGAATTTTGACGCCGTCGACTGCAATATTAAGTTCCAGTCTATACTCCTTCGTCCAGTTCGTGAATATGGTCGCTGTGGATATGGTAGGGGGAAGTTGGAGGTTCCGTTGAGTGAGGAAACGAGAAAGGTCGGAGAGGTAGTTGTTTACCTTCGAACACATGCCATCGATTCCATTGCCCGACGTCAATATCGTACAATCATCAGCGTACGAGGTTAAGGAAACCCCCTCTGGTGGTTGCGGGAGTTTCGAGATGTAGAAGTTAAACAGTAGCGGGGAGAGGACACCACCCTGCGGAACCCCCTGTTTAATTCTTCTCAGTTTAGATGTTGCGCCTTGAAATAGTACGGATGATTGGCGACCGTTCAGGTAGTTCATGGTCCACCTCTTGAGCCCTGGAGGAAGCGTGGTTTTCTCAATGYCCTGCAGTAGCGTTGTGTGATTGACCGTGTCAAAAGCTTTTGACAGGTCCAACGCTACGAGGATCGTTCTCTCACAGGGTGGTTTCTGGTTGAGACCAAGAACTATCTGCATCGTCGTGACTCTTCGGGTTGGACAAAGCTTTGACAGTAGCTCAAAGCTTACTCACACCGGTGGAGAGGTTGAAGGTGCTCTCTGTAAATTTTGTGAAGCCGACCGAGTTAGCTTTGTTGAAGTTAACGAAGGTGCGGTTGTCCACAGAAACGAAATCGGCAGGCTTCTCGATCGAGATAATTATGGGTAGATGTGCCTGGTCCCTTGGTACGAAAAAAAGTTCTAAGATGGGCATAATTTTACCACTGTCATGCCCACAAAACGCCATTAACAGAATATCCATAAAGTGCTATAACTAAGCACTAAATTAAGATATAAAAATGTAATTTTGCATGTATGATGCAAAAACTTTCGAAAAAGTGGATGTGGCTCCACCCTCCAATATATCTCTTAACAACTAAAGCTACAACATCGAAATTTGCTGAGCGCAAATATTACAAAAATTCCTATAGACAGTATCAAATGGATGAAATCGAAAGATAATCCCTCTCAATTCCCGTAAAATGTACTGTTCAAAATTACTAGAATCGCAATAAATCAATAACTAAATACACCAAAGGCGTTAAAATTATCCTCCTAGATGATATGAGGATTCTTTATCGGAGCCGAGATAAAAATTGGACGACGATCGTGTTGCCGACGATTTCGAGTAAATTTAGCACGTGCTTCTCATATTCCTTTGTCCCCGTGCGAAATCATAATAACACCACACCTTTTTCACATATAACAAAATACAAAATTGCTTCTGAATCTTTCCTTTCCAGTGAACAAATCAAGAAGTAAATATATAATTACAATTCAGAGACAATCCAATAGTTTTCTGTGTATCAAAAATGGGTTGAGTTGGGTCAATACTTCCTTGAGCTTCGCAGTAAATCTAGTTTAAAGATTTTTGAACTTTCGGATTATTTTATGCTACATATGTATGTGGGCTAATATTTGAGTTATCTCATAGAAAATTACAAAGCGTGTGTTAAATAGATAAAATTGGGCGAAAACTTAAACTAGCGCCATATAACTAATATTAGCATTTTAGAATATCCGGCTGACATTACTCCATGTCATTGGACATTACACGTAAGGTACCTTAATGAAACCCAAGCAACATTTTTTAGTATATGGCATGATAATAGTTTATGTATAAAATATTAATTTTGTTAACAACCTTTATATCGAACATGTCACTCAGTGTGTATGTATGTATTGCTTGTGTTCCGATCGTCTGTTTGACGTTTTACAGCTTAAGGTATTTCCCTGGCATTTGCATTGCAAAAAAAAAAAAAACCTTCATTATTTGTTATTTATCAAATGATCTAATGTGTGTTGGCATCACCAGCGAGCCAGATGGGCATAAATAATGACGATATATAGAGACACGAGACAGAGGGTGGAACGCTTTCTATGTTTCTGTTCAGCCTTATCTAGATTCAAGACGAATTTTAAATACTTAAGAGTTTCGCAGTTCAAGGGACTAAACGAAATATCAAAATTCGATATAAAGTCATTCCTAAAATATGCCAAAAGCAAGCGGTAACGTCTTGTATGACGAATATTTCAACACAAATTAAACTGAACTTCCATTCGGCATTACAAAGCATCAGTAAGTATGGCAGGACAGCCGGCCAGTATAATCAAACTTAACCTAACTGATTAAGTGGATAGGGTTCAGCTTTTAATGATATCATTAAGGATATTCATATTATAGCACACCAATAGCGAATTATGAATTGGCAAGTTCCATTGCTCTCATATTTCAGTTCAACCAACTTTTAACTGTTACATTATACTTGATTTGAATTTTCCCAATTTGGTGTCGATCTCTTAAGAAAAGTCCCGTCATCTGAAAATACTTCAGCTTCATAAATGTGAATTCGGACTCATTAAAGAGTTTTATATACCAGATTATTTAGTAATAACAGGGAAAATGAAGAATATTAATTTTAGTGATAATATTTAAAAAGTGTCTAAGATGTTCTATGATTTGAGCTTAGTCTCCACGCTCTTAGTTGGGATTACACAAAAATTTAAAAAAGTACACAAAAAAAAAAAAAATATATATATATATTAGCAAATCGAATAAAATTTCCTCGAAGATTGAGAGGGATTTAGGTTTTAGCATTGCCCCTAGCTCTGAACTCGCTAAATATTGTGGAGTTAATGTCTTCGTTTCGTTACTTTGTTCTATCATTCTTTGCAACTCGCTTAGAAAAAAAGAAAATTTATTTCTTTGCTGTTTACTTCAATAGTTTTGAGTAAATAAAACAGTGCCAATTAATTTTTTGTGTAATTTTTATTTTAAATAAATTATTGCAATTACTTATACATATGTAATTTTACATGGTTTTAACTATTAAACATTTAATGAAAAGATGCTCACTCCGCTTTGCCGAGTGTCCTTATACGTAATGAAGGTAAAAAATTTAAATATTGTTTGTTTACATTTTTGAAGGACAAAGGCAAAGCCATGTACAATAAGATATGGCAACTTTAATGGAAAATGAAAGTGAATGTTTTTTTTTTTTATAATTAATAAATGTAAATGTAATTGCGCTTAAACACTAATGGCAACCTTAACGAGGTTGAGCGAAAATTATATTTATTTAATTTTTTGTGATGCTATTAAGTATTTTAATTGTTCCATCAAGAGAACATTTCGTTATCGTTAAAATAAATTAGTTTCGCGATGATAACTAGCTTCGGTCATAAGTATAATCACCTCGGCGTCGCAGCCATCACATAACGGACAGCGCATGCGCCACAGCAGTGACTTGGATTTAAAAAAATACCACAACTACCGTTATTTATATGTAGATCGCTAATGCTTCGCTTCAACGTCATCGATTTCGGCCGCTACAATCGGCTTAATTTCCTGCACTGTCGCCACTTCTTCGCCATCGGCGCTTAATTGCACCTCAACTTTTTCCGATTCGGCCACTTCGGGCTCGTGTTCATCGTCGGGCGTGGCATCTTCTTGTATATCTGTGTCGGAACGGCTTTGTGCGCCATGACCATAGATATCGTTATTTTGATTCGTGATCACTTGTACGGTGTGGTGATGTTGCACACTCTTTTGTTGGGGTTGCTCAATGGCGGTTAGTATCGATTGTAATAAGCCTTCCGAGAGTATCTCTTCGTGGTTAGCAGACTGTTCGGTTTGTACCGATTTTGCGCCACTACCGGCAATGTCCAGTTGGAAGGTGGGTTCATACTGGGAGTGCGCCGCGCCACTGACCTGTTCGGGCGACAACTGTATGGATTGAGATTTCTGCGCAGAAATCACATTAAGACCATCGAGACCGGGCAGTTCTTGAGGATTAGTACCATCTGGCAGCGCCGCTACAGAGGACTTCTGTGAAGCATAGCCGTCATAGTCATGATCGAGGTGATTACCGCCTGACGGTAGTCCGTAGCTATCGGCTGGTTCTTGCTCAACGAACTGTGTGTGTGTCTCAGCCACAGGTATGCTTTGCGAGATGGCGTTGTAGGCGTTAGCTGAGGTGCTCGAAACCGAGTTTGAGGCAGAGTATTGTTGCGAGTGCTGCTGTTGGAACTGATGTTGCTGTTGTTGCTGATACTGGTTTTGCTGTTGGTACTGATTTTGTTGCTGCAATTGATAGCCTGCACTGACTAAGTTCGGTCCTTGACCACAATCATGCACCTGCGTGAAGCGCGGTTCCTGTTGCAGTGGCAAGGCTTGCGCGTGTATGAATTGCTCATTGTGCTGCGAGGATGAGTATGAGTTTTCGTAGTTGGAGCTCGAGGATGCGCTACTTTGCTGCTGGAAAGTTACCGGACCAGTTTGTTGTGTCGGTGGCAGATATTGTTGAGATGGTGGTGGTGGTGGTTGTGGGAAGGGACGACCATGTTGTGGTGGTGGTGGTGGGGGTAGATATTGCTGTTGCGGTGGTGGTGGTGCCAAAGGTGGACCATATTGGTTTTGTGCGTTGCCACGATGTTCCTGTAAGGGGGGTAAAATTTGAAATTGGGGTTGTGGAGGAGGTGGAGACAATGGTGGAAATTCTTGGAATGAACCATGCTGTTGGAATTGTTGTTGCTGTATTTGTTGTTGTTGATGTTGGAAGTTTTGTGTGTTTTGTTGATGATTGTGGTGTGCGTGTTGCTGATTTACCTGTGTGAAGACCTGAGGTGGTTGCACTTGTGGCAACTGCTGTTCAATAACGCCAATGGGCACATTGATTTGCGCAGGCGGTGGTGGAGGGGGACCGTATTCCGAACCAATCCCGTTATCGGCAATTTCATTTGCCGCAGGTGGTATGTAAGTGGGCGACTGAGTTGGTGGCTTAACACCAAATTGATCCAAATGTTGCACGGTAGCACCAATTGACTCTAACAGACCTTGAGGGACTGGTGGCCGGAACGATACTGGACGACTAGGTTGCGAAGCACCATGCGTAGGAACGTTCAGAATATTGCCGGATTGCGAACCATAATGTAAACCAGCTTGAGAGGAAGAGGAGGCAGACGAGGATTGGTGATTTTCCACGAATAGTGCGGCGCTGGAAGGTGGTGGTGGAGGAGGTCCGTAATTGTCGCTTGGTGGTGGTGGTGGTGGTGGTCCGTAATTGCCGTTTGGTGGTGGTGGTCCATAATTGCCACTTGGTGGTGGAAGGTAGTTACCACTCGGTGGTGGGCCATAACTATCCACTGGTGGTGGCGGCGGCGGTGGTCCATAATTACCGCTGGGTGGAATTAATCCGCCATCAATGTTATTGTGTTTATGTGCATGGATCGAGCCGGGTGCATAAGAGTCTGCCGGTGGTTTGCTATACGAATCATCGCCACCGCCAAGAGCAACCTGTTGGAATAAACAATCAATGCATCTTTTCTTGTGTATTTATCTTAACGTTCTAGCACTCACCTGTAAAACATCAGTTTCGATGGAATTAATATTTTGTTGCTTGAAATCACCCGCTGGCCCCGTAGGTGGCAATTGCGGCCCATGGTTTGCTCCATCGAACCCACCTGATTGCAATGCAACCGCAACAAGTTGTGCATCGCTCAATCCGGCAATAATGCTACCACCGCTGCCAGTTGCATCACCATGACTGCCGCCGGAAATACTTGCACCACCGCTGTACTGTGTGCCGAAAGTACCTTGTGTGACGTGACTGTAACCGGATTGAGTCTCAATGTTGTTGCCCTCTACATAGGAGCCTATAGGTGCTGGTATCGGCTTCCAACCGTCGCATGCTGTGTGAAATGGTGCTTGTGAGCCGCTCACACTGTGCGTATGTCCTGAGGCATCTATTTGGATTTGCACTTGTTTAACTGGACCGCCGCCATTACCATGATGATGACCACCAGAGGAGCCAGCATTACCGCCACCGCTTGCTAGTATAATCGTTGTTTCGGGCACTTTGTTGAAGTTGGCAGGCGCTGGACCAGGGCCGGTTAGACCTAAAGCTAATGACGGTGGACCGTATGAAGGCTTAGGTGGTCCATACACAGGTTTAGGTGGCAAATTTAGCGGTCCTGAGGGTGGTGGACCATAAGAACTGGCTGGCGAATGTTCAGGTTTGAACAGCGGCGCAGGTAATGGCGAAGGCAGCGACTGTGGTGGTGGTGGTCCATAGCTGAGACGAGGTGGTGGGCCATATTGAGGTGATGGCTTCGATGGTGGTGGTCCGTATTGTGGCGCAGGACGTGGTGGTGGGCCATATTGTGCCTGTGGTGGTCCATAATTGGGCACGGGCTTATGCTGAATATGTGGTGGACCATAGAATGGTTTTGGCACACCGAAATGCGATTTGATTTGTTCGTTGAAGCCACTATTAAAGTTACTGCTGCTGCTGCTACTACTACTACTTGAAGAGAAGCTGCCACCATTGCCGCCGCTAATGAATTTGGGTGGTCCATACTTTAGTGCTGGTGGTCCATATTCACGGAAAGGTATCTGCTGCGGTACGCCATACTCCCTATGTGGCTGCCGTTGTGGTGGTGGTGGACCATATTGTGGTCGTGGCTTCACAACAACGGCATCACTGAAACTGGCCGCTAGCAGGAGCGTTACTGCTATTATTCGCAAAATCATCTGCAAGAGAGAAATGAAACGATTTTTTTGTTAGTTTACACAAATTTTAAGTTAAAAAATTATTTTTAGGTTATTTATCACAAGAGACTAAGATGTTTTGGGATTGAACTCTGCCATATTGTATATACTATTTTAATGTGGACATTTCTGTCAAACTTATTGTATGTGCAGTCTTCTATGAGTTGCCGTTATACAAACTCAGCAACATTTAAAAAGATCTTTCTCGTTTATCATTTAAGTTTAAGCCAGCTGTAAAGATACTCCCGTCCATTTTTTTTACAATGAAAAATAACCTAAAATTATCGCTTTAGAACAAATATACATATTATTTATAGCTTCAAAGGTTTTTTAGGTAGTTCTTTCTGAAAAGCCATCAAAATGTTACACTTTCTCTATATAATCACTCAGTGCTAAGCTTTCATTCGTATAGAAGTTGGTGAGAGGGTCACTACCCGATCCGAAAGTCGAGGCCTGGTACTTGAGATTGTGATGAATCACGCTGTCAAGATCTTGTTTCAAGAGAACTTTCTATGAAACCAGACAACTGTCTTCTTATAAAGTATTCAGAGACTTGCCCCATAAAGAAAATGGTACTTTCTATAAAAAATCTACTACAAGATGTATGCTTTTTTCTTCTATCAATTTTGCTCCAAAGTTGTTTTAAAAATAATCTCAATCTGTCTTCAATTATTCTGGGTAGGATTCAGGTAGGCCGCTACCGTAAACCTACCGTACTTTTGAGTGAGTATAAAAATATTGTATTTATTATTTTTTAGTATTTCATAACCAAATTCTATAATCTCGAAACTGCTTACTTATATTTAATCACATTGCCGCTCAACTCAACCATACAGTTATTACCCACGCAGTTGAGTGAGCAGCTGCGCTAGACTGCCTGCCTCTCAGCCATGTTGAACCAAATTGAGTTGGTTAATGATATCGCTGATTAATTACAATCAAATTAATTTCAGTAGACAATTTCATTGAAATTTCGACAGTCAGAAACACACACACGCAAATCATTAAAACTATTTGTGCATATATATGTACATGGTAGTTTGTGAGTGTGCGTGTCCCAATCCATTTCATAGCACATAAAGTTTGCGCATTTGCGTTTTATTTATCGCTCATTGCAAAAACAAAAACAAAAAATTGTGTAGTGGCATCGCACTTTCACCCAACACTCTATGTTGGCATGTTGCACGCTATTTAGGTATTGTGCCACAATGCTGCTGGTGGTCCGTCAGTTGATGCCCACATACCTAGATGTATAGCCCCCAGACGGAGTCATGATGACGCATCAAACTGAATTTGAAATGGAATTTAATTATGAAACTGAAATTAGTGGAAAACAAAAAATACGATAACAACAACACAAAAATGATAGCAAAATACCAAATACAGGTGCTTATGCGCAGAATTAGTTGACTGTGGGTTGGTCTGGCAGCCGCACATACTTAGTTTGCGTGTATGTAGTCATATATATATATATGTATGTGGATTAGGGTGGGCCAAAAGAAAAACTTTTTTCTTAGCAAATGTATGCCAGAAAATCAGATAAAGCTTGAGCTCTTGATATTTATGTTAACAATTAGGTGGCGTGTGTTTGATTACCCATAAACATTAAAAATAATGTTTGTATAAAAAAATTGTTCTTCTCTTCTAGGGAATTTGATGATCTACAAAAAATATCTAGTATAATTTTTTGCTAAGTTGACTTGTTTAAAAGTTATTCGAGCTTAAAATTCAACCTAAAATCGTAATAGATAATTTAAAAAAAATTTTATATATTTTTTCATAAAATAATTCTTCAAAATAATTTTTTGTTTGTAATTTCGAATGATATTTTTCATATATCTAAGGAAAAAAATTACAAGTTTTTTGTTTGGCCCACCCTAATGAGTGCATATGTATGTATATTTGAGTATTCTGGGTATATTGGGTAATCTCGAACGATATTTTTGCAGTATCTAAGGAAAAATATTTAAATTTTGTTTATCCCACCCTAATGTGTGTATATTTGGATATCTGTTCATTTGCGTCGCAATACCGCACAGCGTCATGTCAAAGGGACGATGGCAGCTAACAAACTAATGTGGCGCGCGGCTGACTGAGCAATCAGTGGGACCCAGCAAAAAAGTTAGCTGTTTTTGCTGTTGTTGTCGGCATGATAGTAGGTCGATTGGTCGCATTGACTTTGTGCATCGCTGCCAATATGCGGACGCGCACATTTCAAATTGAAAATTTTGCAAGCAAACGCACACACCCACAAATAAACACACACTTGTGTATTTATGCCTGCATATCGATTCACCAACGCATTAAACTTGTTCCGCTGAATTTTCGGGACCGCCCGTGTCGTTTGTCAAACGACAGACCATTTTCCGTTCGGCTGTCATTCGCTTTGTGGCACTTTTTATTTATTGCCAACCACATATTTTGCGGCTGGCTTTTGGCATTTAATGCGGCGACTGTCGACTGGCGGTTGGCTCGCTGTTGTGGCCCATTGATTTTATTAAATTTTCAACAGCTTTCTGTGTTGTTAATGGTATTGCTATTGTTGTTGTTGTCGGAGATATGCCAGTTTGTCGTGACAACTATTGGCGCGAAAACGCTTTACACTCACATATACATACATATACTATATGTATGTGGTGGCGTAGCCAAAAGTCCTACTGCCATGGTTACATTCGCGAACCGCCATTGAGGCTCTGGTTTTAGGTGATCGCGTGCGTGTGTGTACCTGTGCACCTGTGTGCCGGCTTGTGTTGCCGCCCGTCAGCGCTGGTTGCTGCCAACGTATTTGACAGGTGCCACGCGTTGTCTCATGATTATTTATAAATTCATACGAGCCCGTGTTTATTTCCCACAACTGCCATACATTTGATTAGTCCATAAACCTAAATATGCATGTGTGTTTGTATTCTATGTTTTAATTACTAAATTTTCAGGAAAAACGGAGCTACGATCATCACCATAGATACATACATATGTATATCTATTTATTGGCAAGTGCTTAAACTGGGATGTGTTTTAGTATTTCTAATTAGTTTAAAAATATTTTACTTTTAATGTGGTTGAACTAGTATTTTCGATGAAATAATTGTCGTTAAAAAAATTTCAACACAATTTGAGTAGCACACGTAATGTGAAAATCATCAAAATAATAATTTTTTCATATTTTTTTAGCTTGGTCTTTAAAAGTAGCGTACATAAAATTTTAAATCGATTTTAAGCAATTTTATAAGTTAGAGTCTTCTAAAGTGTATTCGCTCAGCTTAATAAATCTGATTGCTCTGATCTGATCGTTAGATGCGTTTTTCTCATAACAGCACTTTGCGATTATGCTCGAGCGATTATTTAGAGAAAAATGTTCTGATTACTATCATTCCGTATGTTCTGTATATGTTCTCCATATAATGACTTGTTTGATCTGATCCAATATAATCGATAATAAGTGTGCCAAATTTGACCAAAGTTTTTAGTAAAAATAAACTTTATTTTAAAAAGTTGACCTGACGATTTTGGATTTTTATTTCTTCTATTTTTTTGACCGTAGTACGCACAATACATATATTCTAGGGAGTTTTTTTTCGGTCGTAGGTCAATCTTCGGACAACGTTCGTTATTTTAGATGTCATCCACTGAGAGGAGGCTGGAGCAGTCTTTTTAGCGTTTTCAGCGATCGCATGCAACTCGATTAATATTTTTTTTCCAAAAATTTATTTTAATATAGGGTATGACAATTTACTACAAGCGGTCAATGAATTATATGAAAGAACTAAAATAGATTGTGTTAAAATGGCATATCTTTGTCACACTCGAATTTCTTAAGGATTCTCCAAGAACTCTGATGGAAAGGAAAAAATTCAAAATATTGTTTAGAATTGCGGCTATGATTTCGCAATAGTTGTAACGGCTGAGGTTTGGGGTTAAAGCCTTTTGCATTGATTCTTTCAGTCAGAATCGATAACATTGTCAATAAATTTAAATTTTTTGTTGTCTGTCACTTTAAAAACATTCCATATAAATATAAAATAATATTTGTGAATTTTGTGTTTCTGTAATAATAATATGCCATGTTGGAGGTAAACTCTTTACCTTTTTTCTGAAAAACTATACATTAATACATACATACGACTAATAATAAGTGCTAATTTCGAAAAACGGAGAAATTGCATTTCTATTTAGGATTCTATCTCTCACAACAACAAAAAAAAAAAAAATGGGTAAGTCCAATACCATTCCGAGTGCTGTTCATAGTTATACTACTATGAGCAAATAGTTGTAAGATTTTGTTCATAATTATAAAATTCTGAACTTATTTTTCAAAACCTATTTAGTCCCCCTGAAAGTAATCCCCCTTAGCCACAATAGAGTTGTGCCAACGTTTTCTCCAATCTTCGAAACACTTGTTGAAGGGATTTTTTTTTTTAATTTTGACGTGGTTTTTTGCCGTCGGCTCACCTTTGCGCCGATATTCAGTCGATTAAACGTATATTTCCAGGTCGTAAGCATAGATCTAAGACTCATAGCCAGTAATCATGACATTTTGGAAGTCGGAAAGCATTGTTTCACAGAACTAGCGCGACTCTGTTTTCCGATAAAACTGAATGAATTTCTACCAATAAAACACACTGGCTCGTGACAAACAATTATCACCAGAGGCCTTTTCCAACATTCTGACTGTTTCGGCATCAGAAATTTGATTCCGCACACCAAATTTAATGGAACGAAGAATTGTTGAATCAATTTTATGTACTTCAGAAAGACCAACACTAAACACTATAAACTATTTTGAAATGAAATTCGGCTTAAAGCCATACGAATGTAGAAAAAAAATTGAATTAAAGAGTTGTAAAATTTTTTGCCCACTGAAGTATGCGTAGATATGATAACAATTATATTTTTCTTTTTTCTTCAGAAACTAATGCAATATGCATATGTTAAAAATAAAGAAAAAGAAAACTCATTTGAAAATAATAATTTCAAAGATAAAA